GAGGAGAAAATTCCCCCTGACCAACCATAGCCCTGGCAGGACCAGACATTTTTCAAAATCAGTCCTCAGCTTTTTATCTTTCTCAAAAATGTCAAGGTGCAGCTGGAAAGACTGCAATATGGATGTTTCACAGATTCCCTGAACAGGAATAGAAGAGGAAGACACAGGCAGTGGGTGTCCTGTTTTATTAACATTTGGCAGCCAGATTGTCCTGTGGGAGCTGGCAGCGAGGTCCAACTGGTCTTATCCTTATTGTAGAATAGGATAATGATTATGGAGAGCACAGAGAGATTCTCAGTGTGTGATCGGTGCCACACTGCTGCCTTGGCCAGCTTCCAGTGCAATACTCACCAGGCTATCTTTTGCTTAATTCAGAAAGTGCTAACCTAGTTTCATGGTTGTCCCCATAGAATCAATTTCTCATGGATTAAGATACATGGAGAAGTCTAGTCATGACTGCAGCTGTGGTGGGAGGGAAGGAACGTGGGCTGGGATTGCACTGGTCCCTTCACCTGTCCTGGGAAGGTCCAGGTCAGGCACATCTGCAAATCTGGTGCCTGCTCCCAGAAGTGAGACAGCTCTCTTAGTCTCCACTATTTCTTGCCCCTCTTTCTCACCCTTTCAACACAGCTGCAGAGAGAAGGGAGCACCGTAACAGATCAGGAGGAAGGGCTGACTCCTCGCAGACCTTGCCTCCACCTCCACCTCTGTGTGCTGTTATGTATCTGGTGCAGACAGCTCTGTTCCCTGCTCAACGTTGGCCCAGCTGGATGGCAAGACAGGAGGACAGGGATGGGGAGGGAGGGCAGACCAGGGCAGGCAGACGGCAGCGTACTGGCTCTCCTGGGACTAAAAGGTGGTGTATCTTGGCAGGGGCCATCCTGGAGAACTGCAACTAATCGTGTCCTGGCTCTAATGTGCCCAGTTGCCAAGTAAGTTTGGGTGTCTTAGCAACTGAGGTTTTCAGTGTTTGATCTCCAAAGTAAGAGCAGTGAACTTTGGGCAGTGGAGATGCTCTCAGCGAAAGGCGCAAGCAAGGGAAGCGCAGGGTTGCAGGCTTCTGCCTCCCTGGGCAGCCTCCGTTTGGGAAGCTTTGGTACAGGGCTGGGCACACTCCTTCTGCCAGGGAGATGGCACAACACTCCTGAACGATGGAGGGCAGCGCGGGCCCAGCATTGACTGTATCGTAGTAAAACTAATTTGCATTCATAGAAAACAGTGGGCTTTGATTATGGCTACATTTTACAAGCAGTGAAAACCTTTCATGTCCTGTCAGCGTTTCCGTGCCTCATAGAATCATAGAATGTTTTGGGTTGGAAGGGACCCCTAGAGGTCATCTAGTCCAACCCCCCTGCAGGGAGCAGGGACACCCCTAACCAGATCAGGTTGCTCAGAGCCCCGTCCAACCTGGCCTGGAATGCTTCCAGGGATGGGGCCTCCACCACCTCTCTGGGCAACACGCTGCAGTGTTTCACCACCCTCATTGTAAAGAATTTCTTCCTTATATCCAGTCTAAGTCTACCCTGTTTTAGTTTAACACCATTACCCCTTATCCTGTCACAGTTGGCCCTGCTAAAAAGATTGTCCCCATATGCCTCATGTGCAGAACTGATACAAAGCTCACTGAAGTTGCTTGAAAGCTGCTTCCAGCTACAGAAGATGTTGGGGCCAGGTCCTACCAGATTCATATTAGTTTCTTCTGAGAAATGGTAACTTTAAATTAGAGGTGAAAAAGAGGTAAGAACATGTCTCATAGTCTTTAAAGTACAGAGAAAAATCACAGAATCACAGAGCAGCTGAGGCTGGCAGGGACCTCTGGAGATTGTCTATAGACTGTGTATTTTGGGTCGTGCCTGTTGCCTCTTGCCCTGTCACTGGGCGCTGCTGAGCAGTCTGGCACCATCTCCAGGGTGAGCAGTCCCAGCGCTCTCAGCCTCTCCCTGTTCCCCAGATGCCAGTTGCTGGAACATGCCCAGAGAAGGGCAACAAACCTGGTGAGGGGTCTGGAGCACAAGTCTTACGAGGAGCGCCTGAGGGAACTGGGGTTGTTCAGCCTGGAGAAAAGGAGGCTGAGGGGAGACCTGATCGCCCTCTACAACTGCCTGACAGGAGGCTGTAATGAGGTGGACAAGGTGAAATGGCCTCAAGGTGCACCAGGGCAGGTTTAGGTTGGACATTAGGAAAAAATTTTTCACCAAAAGGGTTGTCAAGCATTGGAACGGGCTGCTCAGAGCCCAGGGTTGAGTCCCTATCCCTGGAGGTATTTAAAAGATGGATAGACGAGGTGCTTAGGGACTTGGTTTAGTGGTGGGATGGTAGTGTTAGGTTAATGGTTGGACTTAGTGATCTTAAAGGTCTTTTCCAACCTAAACAATTCTATGATTCTCTGCTATAAGCCCTTAATCAATGGCAGTGGCTCCTGGCTGTTGTATCTCCTTGCCTCTCTCGTACTGGGGAGCCCCAGTACATGTGCTGGAGAGCCTTCACCCTGTCAAGGTCCTGCTTTTTTTACCAGCTCTCCCAGTGTTGTATCTTCCGCAAACTTGCTGAGGGTGCACTCTGTCCCACCATCCAGGTCATTGGCATAGATGCGCCCTAGTACAGGGTGACCCCTGGGGTGCGTCACTAGTGACTGGCCTCCATATTTTCGTTACGGATAAGTATAACACTACCCAAGTTGTTTTAAGGAGCAGGTAAGGATTTTGTCCCTGGAAGGGTTTAATTTCTGCTTGTAAATATATGGAAATGTAAGAAGAGTTCTTCTAAATGCTTCTGGAAGAGCATATTTTATCAGAGGCAAACTAGTAAGTGCTAGAATTTATTCTGAAATAGCTACTATTTTGAAATATCTACTACTTAGTAAAGAATTAAGCAGTATTTTATTTTAAACATGTGCAGCATTTAAGATTTTAACTTTTAAAACATGTAGATATTTAAAAATTACTCCATTGTGTAAACAAATCCTTGCTTAAAAGTACGATGTCTTGAAAAAAATCAACATAATTTAATTGATGGCTTTTATTTTCTTTTTGTGTCTCAACCATTGGCATTCCTCAGTTCAGATGTCAACATTTCTATGCCTGGAAGCTGGAGAATAAAAATAGTTACACTCTAAAAAGGGGCAGTGCTGGGGGTGAAAGGTCCTGATCTTGCAAGTTCTTGCTCAAATGGAAACTCAGTGGGGCTATTGGGTGAGGAGGAATTACTCACCCAGCAGAAATCACAAAATGAGGCTGAGCTCCTCTACTAAAACGGTAATAACTCAAACATGGAAAAGATTATTCACTCTCTGATGAAACAGGACAAGCAGGAGTGTACAAATCTATGATTTTTAAGGAAGTGACCACAGCTGAAACCCGCTGGAAATCTGTTTTGAGAACAGATGAGAACCTCCTGCTAAGTGCTTGGACTGCAGTGATGTCCTTAACAATTGGGGTTTTTTTTCAGAGTTTTTATATTTAATATAGATGAGCTACAGTGATTGCAGGCCTGTTTGGAAGCCAAGTATGTGTTCATGTCAATATTAGCAGTGCCTTGGGCTAGACAGAAAGCTTGAAAAGTATGTATTAACATAAATAAAAATCAGTGCATTTTTGGAATTACTTCATTCTGTGGCCTTAAAAAGTTTCCTTGGCACAGTAAGATGACCTTATCCTTGAAAAAAAAGTATTATATGGCAGAAATATCTTTATTTCCTGACACAGTAGGACAGAAAACCCACTTTCATTCCAAGCAATCCAGCTTGAACATGCAAAACCTGAAGAGAATGAACACATCGGGACACCACGATACTGCGTGTCTGACTCTTGAGATAAGGGTGAGTGCCTAATAGATGTTTTCCAGACAAAGAGCCCTCAGCTAAGAACCAGGGTACGTGTCAAGAAGGTTTTAGAGAGGAACATTACTCACAACTCAACAGTGATTAAAGAATATTGAAACAGGCCGCAGAACTCTCTTGACCCCAAGTGAAGGGGGAAAAAATCCCCCAAACCCACAAATCTTCTCTTATCTGGCCCTTTTCTACCCAGAGCGCTACCTTCTCCGGTTCTGAGCACCTCTATGCTGATCTTCAACTGAAGTTTGCTGGAGGAGGCAGCACCCCACTCCCAGGATTCAAAGACGGCCCAGCCGGTGCGACCAGACCCTGCATGGGGACTCTGCCACACCTGCCCAGTTTCAAAGCCATTCGTAGCAAAAGACATTTACCACAGAGGAATGTCCATCATTCTGAATCCTTCAAAACATCACAGCTAATATAATTGCAACTAGTAGTTCTCAGCCTGCAAAAGGGCATCTATACTTCTGAATTGCTGGTCCCATTGCCCTTTTTCTCCTTTTGTGATGTTTCTGATTTTCCCCTGAATAATTAACTAATGTCCCAACTTGCTTCTTACCTGTTGTTTGTGGCAGATACTCCCCAGCTGTAGGTTGGAAATGAAAACAATTCTCCAGCGCAAAGCTCTCCATGGTTCCCTCATGGACAAGTTAGTGGGCAAAATGAAAGTCCTTTCTGTTGTTCCAGTGCACCTGATTCTCCTTCTCCTCAATCTTTTCAACTGGAAAAAACAATACTTTGAGGATATCTAGTAGAGCTCTTTACATGGGAAACTCTATAGAGCCTTCCCCTTATGTATGTATAGACCTACTTTAGTGAATGCTGATTCTCTTCCTTATTTCTGATTATCTTGGAACATACTTGTTGTATTTGGAATGACAGAGCAATTACCTTCTCCAGATCTCAGTGATTTCCTCTGTTGTTCTAGGCCATGATCTTGTAAGTAGATGTGTGCCTATGGACCTTTGTGCCTAACCAGCTCTCACTGTTGGATGAAAGTCTAACATTTTGTTTCTCAGAAGTGTTTTTGTAAATGATCCATTTCCAGTGTAAGACTGCAACTGTTTAGTTTTCTTGGGGGAAAGATCAGAGGTCCTGAAAAAATGGAAATGTCATGGTTTTGTGTTAGTTCAAAGTCTGTTCTTGGACCTTGTTGATGACTAAGCTGCTAAAAACTGGACCAGTCTGTCTAAGTTTACGAGGATATAATACATCAGAAGAGATTCACAAAGATGTTTTGGGGTTTTTTTTTTCCCCAGGATTAGATCAGTTTCTGAGCAAAGTAAACCCATATATTACATTAAATTATTATTGTTTATTTGCAGGCCTGTTCTTTAAAGGATAAGCCAATTCCCTCTCAAATGCAGCTCATTTCTCTGTGACCCACTCTGACAGCTGTGACAATCTGTTTGCCACAGAGCTTAGTATGTCACAGCTTATATATTAAAAGTAGCTGGAGGTTCTCAGTCTCATTTGTGGGTTTAGGACCTTAAAACACGGTGTGAAGATTCACCAGATTACTCCCTGTTTTTTTAAACAATGACATTACTTTTTAACTTTGCACTTCAGTGGGTTCTCTTACAAGAGTGACTCTTACCTGGAAAAAAAAATACTGCCCTGAAATGTCCTAATTGTCCTCCATGTTATAAGTATGATAGCATGGCAGCGTGGGAATACGTCAGGCTGAGGCCGGTAGTGGGCTGTTTGCCATTCTGGGGCGAATTGTTTCTGGCTTGGTACCATGTGCCTGATGGTGGCATGTGTCTTCTCAGGAAGGACAAATTGCTCTCCTTCACGTTTGGCAAGCTCCTGCTGGCATGCCAAAGAGGCCTATATTTAGTACTGGGACTGTTTAGCCAACAAGCTGGGAAAATTGTCATGATGATGCGACTAGAGATTTACTGACGCTGTTTTCCGAGAGCTGAAGACGATATGGTTGAAGTGGGCTTTGAATTTCCAGCTCTGAATATTGCTGTTCCTATTTTCTCTGGGTAGAGTACATCCTGCTCCCAAAGCCCAGGCCTGCAGTGTTGCAGCTTGAACTAGAGCTCATTTACTGTGATTTGGCATTGGTGGGATTCCTACAAAGCTGGCTATTTTGATATACAGCTTGATACCCCAAACTTCGCTCTTCTTGTTCTGTTGAACCCTGGTTCCTGCTGCCCCGGTGCCTGGTGCTGTCCTGGCTGCTGGATATGTCCTGCTGCCACATATGCTCCCGGATGGGCTGCGAGCAGGCATCCAGAGAGCAGCAGCAATTGTTCTCATAAAAACCCTCTTTGCCTGTCATCTGCAACGGGCACATGGCCTACATACAATTCAAGAAGCTCCTCAGATCAAAGGCAATATGAGCCCTGATGCTCACCATGGGAATTTCACCTCCTCTGTTCTTTGCCCTTGTGAAACAGCAACATCAGGAACCTCCCAAAGAAGTGAAGTGATACCATGGGGTCATCTTATTTCCATCCCAAATTTGCCACCGGGACATCCACTGTTCAACAGGACCATCCAAGGTTCCTTCTCCCAGAAGGCCATGCCTATGGGAATGATGGTCTTGGTTATCTACTGTCTGTATTTAAGTTACATTTTCAACTGGAAATTTACTCTATACTTAACCTTTGCATATATAGCAGTGTTAGCAAGAGTATGAAAGAAATTACCTCTTGAAGAAAAAAAAGGCAAATATCCCAATGTAAACATGATCTTATTGCCTTTATTTAGGCTGTGTGAAGGAACAGAGATCTGTCTGGGATGAGCTAAACTAAACAGGCTTTTTATTAACAAAACTTTTCAAACACACGTTCTGCTCACAACAACCCAGCTCAAGGCACGCGAAAAAAAGATTAAGGAGGACTCTAATTTCCTCTCCCTTGCTTAAAAAATCCATACGACTATTTGCTTGTGTCTTGCCAGGCATTCTCATAAGCGAAAGAATTTTGGAGGTATTCTTAAAAACATTGTCAAAATGTACCATAATCCTTCACTTGGGCATTTAAATCTTCTCTTCCGTCTGATGCAAGTGTTGCTTTTGGTTCTTGTACCTATAGCCAAAGCATGAAAAATCAACTCGGTATTGGAGTTTTCTCTTCTATATGCTAAGCAGGAGGTTCCCGGGGCTTGCTAATATTGCATGCATGTTCTCTTCATTTGCTGTTTCAGTATTGCCGGCAGCATCTTGCACAGCTAAGAGCAAGGAGTTTCCTTTTTCCCTGTATGTCCCTTCTGTGTGCATAAAAATTGGGTTGTTTTGCTGATTTAATTACTGTGAGGACAGATCATCTTCTCAGGCTTCTTGTCACAATACTGACATTTCCTGTGGAAGTTTTAAGTGATTTGACACTTTTTGTCACGCTACAATTTCTAGCTCATCTTCCAGTGAACAAATGTTGATTAATAACTCTTGGCATTAGAAACAACTCACAGCTTTTGCTTATTTTCAGTAGTTCAGTAAACTGAGGGAAGGTCTTGACAACCTTCGTTTGC